CCTCGTGCTGAGGCTGCAGCGGGACAGGACAGGTGGCCGGGACTCAGAGTTGGGGACAGGAGTGGGGACGCAGAGCAGGCCTTTCTTCCTGGCCCAGGCCGAGAAAGCCCCTGCATTGGAGCACCCCCTGGCTTGACCTCACTCCGTCTCCTGGAATCCCAGTTAGCAGTCAGCCACCCTGCGGTGGATGGCCAGGAAACGTCACCTCGGGAAGCCAGGAAGTGGATCCTACACACCAGGAAGTGGTTCTCCAAAGAGGCTCCTCCCTGGCAGTTGGTAGTGGTACGGCGCCCTCCTCTGAGGGTTCGGCTCGGGCCCCTCCCTGGTCTCTGTCCCGAGTGAATGGAGACCCTGTAGCCCTCCAGGAGAGGCCAGGAACCTCATCGTCACCCTGAGCGGTCCAGGGCCACCTTCCTACCTTTTTGTTAATGATCGAGAGTGTGTGCACACGCATGGGAAAGAGAGTCGGAGGGAGGGAGAGAGGGAGACACCACTGAAGGGGCTCTTCATGCCACTGCCCCCTTCCGCAGCCCTCCAGCTTGTCAGGATCCTGGGCGCCTGTGTACACACCCCGGGATCCAGACCTGGGGTCGACCCTGTGCTTCCAGCCCCGCAGTCCCACTTGCAGCAAACTGCTCTACCAGGCTGGGCTCACCTTCCTCCTTACTGACCCCCGGGAGACGCAGTCTCTGGCTGCCCCAGGATTCCTTCCTGAGCCTGCAGCTGGGATGAGCTGCCTCCGTGGGGAACGGCCTCCTGAATATTTGTTTAACCAGCGCCATTGTCAGCAGAGTCAGGACTGCACGCCACGTTCTTCACGGGACTTCTGTGTGTTCGGGGCCTTCAGAAGGCTCGCGGGACAATGGAGTGAGCGTACGAGTTTCTTTCAGGGCCCCCAAATTTGAAATCCATGCACAGTTTTTCTTTTTTTTTTTTTCCGAATCTACATTTTCTGTGAACTTTTCAAAGACCCCTTGTATGTAGTTACATCGTAGTTCATTAGGAAAGAGTAGAAACATGACACAAATATCCTTTTAGTTAGACTCATCACCTAGGGGAAATTGGATATTGCGCACCAAACCGTCCTTGTCGCTGCCGTCGTCCACCTAGTCTGTGCTCTGTTCAGCCCACTCTGCCTGCTTTCCAGGACCTTCTGAGGGCTTCTCGTATCTAGGCTGCAGACCTAGCTCGGGACCCCGGGCCCTCACTGATGCATCGCTGTCCTCTCTTGAACCCGCCAGCAAACGGCTCTCAGACCTCTGTTGGCAGCTCCCTGGTGAGGTGGCAGCACCCGACCTGACTTACTCCTTACATTTCACAGGGTTTAGCTGGTGACCCTGTAAAGTTACCTGAGAGTTGAGCTGTTCACGGACGTTCCCATAGAGTTGACCTTCGCTCACACCCGTTTTGATACTTTAAGTTTCGTTGGTGTGTAAGCACGGAGGGTCTGCCCCCTTGGTGTGCAGGTTGTGGCTCCCTGTTTCGGGTGTAGGTGTGACCATCACACCCTGTTGATAAGGAATAGGCAAGGCTGATGTGTCCTGCAGGCATCTTCCTTGGCAGAAAAAGAAGAGGACTTTCGGTTTCCAGGAGCCTAGGTCTGTGCACCTGAGCTTAGAGAGGAGCGTGTTCTCTTTCTAAACAGAAAATGCTCGCAGGACTTCTCACGCAGGGAGGACGGCCAAGGAGTCCCGAGGATTCCCCTTTTGATTTTAGTCTTACCCTACAGGTCACCGTGGGCGGGGTGCTCTGGGCGGGCCACAGGAGCCAGCCTTGGGGAGCTGCTTTGAGCAGAGAGGAAAGCGTGTCCTCTAGGGTCCTCTTCCCCCACAGGAGTGTAGGGACGAGTGGAGCGGGCCCTGGTTAGTGTCCCGTGCACGGCCACTATCGTGCCAGGGCTCTTGCCTGGTGTCCGAGCAGCCCTGGACAGCACTGCCTACGTCCTTCCGGCCTGCCTCAACGAAGAGCAGCTGGCCCAATGGGGCAACTTACCCAGGCCTTTCCCAATGCACAGGGGCTAGGAAGGGGGTGCCTCCACTGCCTCTGTGACAGTTCCTGGCTGAGGGCACAGATGCAGGGGACACTGAAGACCAGCCGCTGTGTAGTTACCTGCTGTGGCACTGCTGGGAGAGAGGGAAAAAGAACACCCATACCTTTCGCGGGAGGATTCCTGCACGCAGCGGAGAACCGCAGAATCCCAGAGCACATTCCCCTTGTCATCACAGCCCCTGCGTCTCTGCGCCCTCCTCCCCTCCTGCTCCTCTGGTCCCTTTGTTCTCCGCCGCCCAGCACACAAGCCTGCCCAGTTACCGGAGAGCCGCTTCTGCAGAATGTCCATCCCTTCCTACCCAGGAGTCGTCTGCCGCAGGGAGGAAGGGAACGGGGCCGTGCTGGAATGTTGTCACCGTCCCGTGGTCAGCTCTGCAGGGCCCCAGGCAGCTCCTGGCTCCTCTGTCCTGACAAGGCTCACCCACTTCGAAGCTCTCCAGAAGCCGTCTCCGGGCATGGAATGCAGAGGCTCTGGCCTCCCCCAGCCTCCCCAGCGGCGTCCTCGTTGTGGCCTGGTGCCTGCCCCCCTCCTGCAGGCTGCAGGCCTGCTTTTTCTACCCCCTCACCTGCATTTCTTCCAAGCCCAGGCCTTTGTTTGATCCTGCCGATCCCCTTCTCAGAATCTACCTCCTCTGCTGCTGCCAGACGAGGCCTCACTCATGCCCACCTGTGTCGGCCCCTCCGCCCTGGGACACCTCCTCCTCTCTCTCATTCTCTCCCGTGATTCTTCCTTCCCATGGGCGTTCGTTCCCACGCTGCCTCTCTCTCCACCGCGCAGGGTCTGCTTACCTTCCTAATTAAGCCTCTCACTGCCCCAGGACAGGAGACGGACACTCCCTGTTCTCTGCGCTCCTGGGCCAAGCTCAGCGTTCATATGGAAGGTGCCCTCTGGGCAGCTCAGGTCAGCTCCCTGCAGCGGCCTCCACTGCAACCTCCCCCCCCCACCAAGGTCGCATGTTCACAGAGGCCCCCAGCACATGTGACGTGCATGTCGTCAGGTCCGATCGCCGTCTGTTCCTCCGGCTGGGAGCGTGAAGTGTGAAGATAATTAATACATGCAGTGTTGGAGGCGCCTTGCCTTGGGTGGTTTCTTCCCTGCCGTTAGTGTCACTCTTGTTCGTTAAGCTCCGGCGAAACCCTAAATCCTGCCGCGGACCCGGGGTGTATTTTTAGACAGCTCCGTTACCCCACAGGACAGCCCTGTGTTAGTGCGGGTGGGCTGGGCAGGCCGTGGCTCCCTTTCAAGTCTGAAGGTAACCATCCCAGGAGGGACACGAACTCCTGTCCCTTCTGCTGGTCTCCGTCTTAACACGGCGCAGAGACCATGTCCAGAAATCCCTCACGTGCTTTCTCTTTTCGTTGGCTGTTTGTAGTTTAATAAGCCAGGGGTGCACCTGTTCTCTTCCTGTGCTGCAGAGAGTGTCAGCGTGTAGCACAAAGGCTTGTTCCCAGCTGCCTGTGGAGTGGCCGCCTTGCTGTACTGTGGGGTGCAGAGCGCGGGACTGCGTAGTGCTTGGTACTGCAGGGTCAGCGTCACCCAGACACCCCAAGCAGTGACTGCATTCTGTGTGTGTGCGTGTGCGTGCGTGTCTGGGTGTGCGTGATTCAAGTGTGCACCTGGAAAGCACATGGGACAATGTTATTCTGCAGAAGTATCACATCTTAGGTTCCTTTTTTTTTTTTTTAAAGAGTAATTTATCTAGTTAACTTTATTTGTTGTTAGCTTTTTTTTTTTTTTTTTTTTTTGGGGGGGGTTTTTTTTTATAGGGGCGACTCGCCAAACAGACAGAGAGAGAGAGACAGAAAGCGAGAAATCACCCCCCAGGGGGGATGGTCACACCACAATCCCTTCTACTCCATTCTCCTCTTGGGATCTTGGGCACGCACGCACACGCGCCCGGCATGAGTTTTTAAGCCACCGGGTCCGGGACATGAACCGCCGTTGACTACATGGGAGTCCAGCGACATAGCCATTACGCCAACTGCTGGTCCCTGTCGTTAGCATTTTTTAATCTGTTCCTAGAGAGAAGAAAAGTGAGAAAGCAAGCCACCAGGTCTGAGACTCAAACCGCAGTCAGCCATGTGGGAGTCCAGCGTCCTCACCGGGCTGCCACCTGCCGGCCCCAGGTCTTAAGTTCTGTGGCTGCTAACAAGTCCTTGGGTCCGGGGGAGTAATGAGAAGGTTTCAGTGCATTTTAGAGATGGAGGCCGTAGGAGTCTCTGTGCTCCCCACACAGAGAGGCCTAGCACTCCCTGCTAGGCGTTGGCTCGGCCCTGGCCTGTGGTCACTCGGTGCCGTCCGTGCGCCCTGCGGTCCTGCTGGGTCGTGGCCCCTGGTCTGATCCTTCTCCCCTCTCTCCCTGCTGACCTGTGCTTTCTGGGAAGAGAGAACCACAGTGAGATCGAGCGGCGCAGGCGGAACAAGATGACGCAGTACATCACCGAGCTCTCGGACATGGTGCCCACATGCAGCGCGCTGGCCCGGAAGCCAGACAAGCTCACCATCCTGCGCATGGCTGTGTCGCACATGAAGTCCATGCGGGGCACGGGGAACAAGTCCACCGACGGCGCGTACAAGCCCTCCTTCCTCACCGAGCAGGTACCCTGCGCAGCCCGGCGGTGGCCCTCCCTCCCCGGTCACGTCACCCTCGGAAGGGGGTGAACCCCTGTTGCCAGGATGAGATGAACTGTCTGGGGAAACAGGGTTCAGGGGCGAGGAAGGGACTGGGCAAAGGTCAAGGGATCCAGTTCTAAGCCTCATCTTTTCTATTATGAAGATGACAAAATCCCGAGGTGAATGTTCACCTCATTTGATTCCAGTTGGCCCGTTTGTAAGGGAATAAAGCAATCAATAAAAGTCCCCTTGTGGGGAAATTTGATACACAGTAAAAAAAAAAAAAAAGATGTGGTTTCTGCTCTTTACCAAGGAGCTCTCAAAAAACAAACAAAACGAAACAAAAAACCTTTTTGTGGGACCAGCAGGTGGGGTAATGGTTATGTCACTGAACTCCCATGTTGAGTGCGGTTCGAGTCCTGGATGTGGCAGCTTAAACTCACACCAGTTGCGTGTCGTGTATGCCCAAAAATCCTGAGAAGAGAACGGAGAAGGGACCGTGGTGTGGCCATCCCCCCAGAGGAGCCATTTCTTGCTTTCTGTCTGTCTGTCTCTCCAGCAAAAGCTCACACCCTATAGCAAAAATCTCTCTCAAAGGAAAGGAGCTCTCTTCAAGAGGCTGGTCAGGCAGGTCTTCGCAGCCTTTGCTTTCATATTTCCCATATTCCTTAGTGACGCTCGCTGGAAAGTTAAATATTGAGCACGTGAGCGATGTCCATAGGGCAATGATGCAGAGATGTCAGTAGAAAGCACCCTCGGGGGCCAGTCTGTGGCACAGTGGTGAAGGCGGCTGGATCCCACATGGCTGACCTTGCTGCTCTAGTCCTGGACCCGGTAGTTTGAGAACCACACCGGGTGGATGTGTGTGCATGCCCAAAATTCCAGAAGGAGGGGAAGATGGAGGAGGAGGGACTGCAGCGTGACCATCCCCCATGGGGGGGTGCTTTCTCACTTGCCCTCTCTCCCTGGTGGGCCCGTGCACCCTCTGACAAAATTAATAGCAAACAGTTCAGGCCAGTGGGGCCGCGCTGCCCAAGCACTGCTGGGCCCAGAGGGAAGACTGCGGGTTCGGCCCCCAGGTGATCCATGCACACCAGGGTATGCCCGCCCGTGATCCTGGCTGGCGGGGAGGGAAACACGGCATGTATGGTGGAGAGGCGGAGCCAGTTAGGAAGGAGGCGTCTGCACAGTGGAGAGTCCTCAAAGCAATGGAGTGACGAGACAGGGATGTGGCACAGTGACACAGAGAAGGGTCACAGTGTCATCAGGGGACATGACACTGTTGATGGCATTGGCAGGCTGCAGAGGAGCCACAGAGTGTGCACGGAGGAGGGAAGCAGGAGGGATTCTACAAAAGGGGAGCTCCTGAGGTGTGGCTGAGAGACAGTCGCTTATTCTGCAGGAGCCACGGGTGTGCTCACAGCGTGGGAGCCAGGCTGAGAGAGAACAGGGGAGCGGAGCAGCATGCATGACCCTCTGTCTGTCTGCGGGAGACTGAGCTCAGCCCGTGCCCTCCCTGGTCCCAGGGGGACCTGAGATCCCTCCCCGAGCAGGGGTTGGGCAGGTGAAGCAGCAGCAGCAGCACCACCTGGAAGGCCTGGACATGGGGGCTCGGGCATCGGCTTCAAGCCCCATTTCTGCCACTGCAAAGACAAATGCCTGGTTGGCCCTGTAGCCAATTGTTAAAGGAGCCGCATCCCACATGGCCAACCACACAGTTCAAATCCCAGCCCCAGTGGCATGACAAAAACACTCTTGGCATGTGTACATGCCTGCCTCACGTCCCAACAAGGTAGAGAAATGGAGAAGGAATTGTGACCTGGCCACACCTACTGGGGGAGGGCGGCCTCCTCTCTCGCTCTCTCATTCTCTCTGTCTCTTCTCTGCTGAGCACACACCTGCTTTGGCAATTAAAACGAAACAAAAGCAAAAGCACTACCTTCCGCCTCACATGGTGGCGAGGGATCAGGGAGGCAGGAGTAGAAGCGTTCCACGGGAGGCTTGGAGTGCATGGAGAAGGATGTCTGGTGGGTGACCAGGCAGGAGGTCGGTGAGCGCCGCTAGCTGCTGGGGTTGAGCAGAGATCCTGCGGGGCGAGGATCTGGAATGAATCTCTTTACCTTGAAGCGACTAGGGATGCGGAAAGGGCAGTGAGAGAGGGCGGCCGTGAAAGCCCTCCGAGTCCCGCCCATGCTCGTCCCTCGGTTACTTTGGGTGACAACAACAGTTCATTTGTGCAGCCCTACTGTGCGCCAGGCCCTTGGGGAGTCCTTCACGTGCAGGATCTCGCTGCACCTCACTGAACTCTCACTGAAGAAGCTGCTTGAAAAAGGAGAAGCTGAAGACGTTAAGGAACATACCCCAAGTTACCCAGCAGGGTGGGAGAGCTGCGGACAGTAGTCTAGCTTTACTCCAAAATCCATGCTCTTTTTCTTTTCCTTTAAAAAATTATTTAATGCCATTATTTTTCTTTCACTTGACCAGAAAGAGACAGAAAGAGATGGAAAGTGAGAAAGCAAGCCACCAGGTCTGGGACTCAAACTGCGGTCAGCCATGTGGGAGTCCAGTGGCTTAACCACCATGCCAGCTGACAGTCCCCAGAATCCATGTTCTTAATCCTTACTCTTGTGTAACTGGGGAGTAGGGGCAAGGCTGGCTCTGGATCAAGGGTGCAGGACCTTGCAGTATGTAGTGTGCACCCAGGAACATCAGCGAGGAGGGTGGCAGGGAGAGGGTGAGGGCGAGGGCGAGGTCTGTCCCACTTGAGGACCTTCCTACACTCCCTGCACACTGCCGAAGCTGAAGGCATGACTACCCAAGTGAAGTTGATCCGCCTCTTCCTCTCCTCCAGTGACAGAGTCCTCTACTTCTTTGACTTTAGTTAACTTTTTTTTTTTTTTTAAGGTTTTGATCATAGGACTCGTGTGCTCTCCAGAGCGGAGAGAGACAGAGTTACAGAGAGAGGGAAAGTGAGGAATCCCCCCCTCTCCTGGGAGAATGGCCACACTTCAATCCCTTCTCTCCCATATTCTTCTTGGGATCTTGGACATACACACACATGCCCAGCATGATTCTTAAGCCCCAGGTCCAGGACTTGAACCATGGTTGGCCATATGGGAATCCAGCCACCTTACCCACTGTGCCACCTGCTGGTCATGGGTTACACTTTTTTGTTTTTTTTTTTTAACAAAAACCTCTTCCTATTGGGAAGATCACCCCAATACTGCAAATAAAAAGCTACCCCGATCCTCTGAACTAAGTCAGCAGCTAGCAGACACAGGCCAGCAGTGATATAAAGCAGGAGGAATGGGCTAACTCAACTTTTCCTTGAAAAATTGTGTGTTCTGCTTCTGCGGTTCTTTCCCAAGCCCAAGGTGGTGGTATTCCTCCCCAGCAGAGTGCTTAGAGAGGCGTGCAAAAGCTTGCCAGGTTCTACTCACTAGCAGATCAACATTTTCTAGTCTTTGGATTCTTTTTTTTAAAAAAATAATTATTTATTTAGTTTTATTTATTCATCCATTTATTTTAATTTGACCAGAGAGAGACAGAGAGAGGGGAAGTGAGAGAGCAAGCCACCAGGTCCAGGACTTGAACCGTGGTTGGCCATGTGGGAGTGTCCAGTGCCTCAACCACCACGCCACCCGCTGGTCCCTCTAATCTTTGGGTTCTTGACCTCCCTTGATTGAGATTTAGGGCAGGACCTAGATCGAGACTCCCTACCTTTTGCCTCCACTCAGCTAACCCTTCGTGGGTTTTACTGTAGAATTTGCACAGAAAGTTACATTTGAACAAAGAATCCTTAGCAAAAAAAAAAAAAAATGGTTGCCCACTGCTGATCCAGAAGGGCACCCTTGTTCCATGAGGCCTAGACAGGGTGCGAGGTGACTAGAGGGATGGCCGTGGGTTCTGGCACAGGTGGAAGAATGAGTTCCTGGCTCCTGCCAGTACAGAGCCCACCCCGTTCTGCAGGAAAGAGCTGGCTTAGCTGAATGTGAGACTTGAGCTGCCTTTGGGCTCTGCGAAGACAGACAAGACATCTCCTTTTACCAAAGCTGGATTTCCCATCCATGGCCCTCTGGGGATGGTGGCAAGGCTTCCTGGTGCCCATTGATTGATCCCAAGCAGCTTCCTTCCTGCCTTCAGTGACAGTCATGACCCTGGTGAGTCAGTGTGACCCCAGAGCTCTTCTCACTGTGAAATGAGTCGGATAATGCTGTCTGCCCTGCCACCTCCGGGGCTGCTTCAAGCATCTGTCAAGAAGATGGCGACGGTGTCGGAATTCTGAAGGCCTGACAGACATGCAGCCGTCAGATGTGTGGTGTCCAGGGCAGGCCCTCAGCTAGAAGTACAGGAAAGGAGGAATAGGGATGCACTGTCAGTGTGGCAGGTGAGGGATAGAGAGGCGTACGGTTCCCTCCCTTCCCTCTTCATCCCTTCCTGTTCTTCTCTTTCTTTCCATCTAGCACTTTTTCAGTCAAGTATCATGTGCTGAGCTCTTCTACTCCAACAATGTGGCTGCAGTTTCAAGGTTTGGGTGGTGCTGCTCTCACCTTGGAAACCTAGCCCCATCTGGTGATCCCTCCTTCCCCACCCAGGCTAGAAATTTCCTCTCTTCTTAAGAGAGGACTGGTTAAGACAGGACTAACAGTGCTTTCTTGGTTTTGTTTTTTAAGAGTATTTTTTTTTTTGCTGGAGGGCACGAGCACACTCCAGAGAGAGACACACGGAGACAGTGAGAGAGAAAATGGAAATCACCCCACAGGGGGAATGGCCTCACCACATTCCCTTCTCCTCCATTCTCCTCCTGGGATCTTGGGCACGCAGGCACACGTACCCAGTGTGATTTTCAAGCCACCATGTCCAGGGCTTGATCCATAGTTAGCCATTTGGGAGTCCAGCAATGTAACCACTATGCCATGTGCTTGCTGGCTTCTAAGGGCTAACAGTATTTAGAGTAGCTGTATCTTACGGGTAGAGCAAGCTCCGTGCATTTTTCAGCCTATTTTCCGGTAAAAGGCACTCAGTTCCCAACTATGTATTGCCCCAATGAGTATCTGAATAAAATAAATTGAAGGCTGCTAATAAGAATGTTTATTTGATTTGAGTCTCTCAGTGTGTTGTGCTGATTATAATCTTTTTCCCCCCCTCCAGGAACTGAAGCATCTCATCCTTGAGGCAGCTGATGGATTTCTGTTTGTAGTGGCAGCTGAGACAGGGCGAGTGATTTATGTGTCTGACTCAGTCACCCCTGTTCTGAACCAGCCCCAGTCAGAGTGGTTTGGGAGCACCCTCTATGAACAGGTACACCCCGATGATGTGGAGAAGCTGAGAGAGCAGCTGTGTACTTCAGAAAACTCAATGACAGGTCAGTGTAACTGTCTTCCTAAGTCTGTTGACTCTAGAAAAAAATATCAATCAGTAACTAAGCCAAGAAGCTAAAGGTCATAAAAAGCTGTGTGGGGACCAGCAGTTAGCATAATGGCTATGTCACTGAACTCTCATGTAGTCAACCAGGGTTTGAGGCTGGGACCCGGTGGCTGTGCGTGTGTGCCCAAGATCCTGAGAAGAGAATAGAGGAGAGGGGATTGTGGTATGGCCATCCTCCCAGGGGGTGATTTCTCGCTTCTTGTCTGTCTTTCTTTGCGGTGAGCACACATGCCCTGTAACAAAAATCTCTCAAAAAAAAAAAAGCTGCGTGAAAGTGAGTAGATGTATTTGACTTGGCTTGTGTCATAGCTTCATTAACCCTTCATTAACATTAAAAGATCCATTTTTGCTAGATTGCTTTTTTCTATATTTTACCTGCAATTAGTGTACCTTGCCACTAGGAGTCGTCATTGACACATTCGTCAGATCCACAGGCTCTGTGATAACGTTTATGCAGTGAATGTGACATTATTTGTGATCCTGATTATGGGCACGCCATACCCAGGCCATAGTTACCTAAAATGTAATTTCTTATTGAAACATTTAAACAAAGTCATTTCTGCTATGAAATAACATACATGTTCCTAAAAATCACCACCGTATACAAAATCATGTAATAAATGCTATAAGCCTTATGGGGGTAAGTGGATTAAGAACATAAACTCAGTAATTTGTCAACAGCAGATAAGAAAACAAAAACAGGAGCCTAATAAATTATAGATAGATTGGAAAAAACAGTATCTGGTGTTATAAAATACAGTGGGGAGAATGTGGTTAACAACAGCTTATCGTATGAAAGGTTGCAAGTGGTTGAGATGATGGGTATACTAATTATCCTGCTTTACTCACTGCACATTTTGATTATGTACTAAAAAGTGACATCATAGGAATAGTTATATTAAGAAAAAGTATTAATTTAAAAATCATAGCATAGGGGCCAGCAGGAGATGGCGTAATGGTTACGTCACTGGGCTCCCACGTGGTAGACTGAGATTTGAGTCCTGAACCCAGTGGCTTAAAACTCATGCCAGGCGTGTGCGCGTGCATACCTAAAGTCCTGAGAGGAGAATGGAGGAGAAGGGATTGTGGTGTCACCATTCCCCTGTGAAGGGGGGGGGGTGCTTTTTTGCTTTCTCTCTCTCTAGCTCTCTCTGTTTCTTCAGCGAGCACACACGCCCTGTAGCAAAAAATCTCTCTCTCTCAAAAAAAGAGAAAAAAGTCATAAAATAGTTTTATGCATCGGTTTTTAACATAGCAGTGGTACTTAATTTTGAAAATATCCTCAAGTTTGCCTGTGGAAATGGCTCTCAGAGGGTGCTGCTGTGTGTTGCTGTGAAGTGAAGGGAGGACAGTCACGTGAAATGAGATGGAGAGTTTTAACACCGAGTGCTGATGGGTATGGCTTGTGCTCATAGTGAAGTCAGCGTAGATGTGTTTTGTGTGTTCCTGTGTCGCTCCATCCAGATGGGCACAGCTCTCTGTGTTAATTTAGTATTTTTTGCAGATAAGCAGATACAAAGTCACATTATGTTCAGATTGCTCCCTTAGATCTCAACCACATTGGATCGGATTTGCCTTTTCTTTCTCTCTTTTTTTTTCTTTCAATTTGCTATAGAATGCATGCACTTGCCAGAAGGAGACAGAGAGAGGGGGAAAGTAAGAAAGCATTCCCAGGGGGATGGCCATGCTGTAATCTTTCCTCCACTCTTCTCTCAGGATTTTGGGTATGCACACACATACACACCTGGCATGTTCCTCCAGGTCCAAGACTTGAACCTCGTGGTTGGCCACGTGAACTCTAGCTGCCTCAACCACCATGGTACCTGCTGGCCCTAAGTGTGCATTTTTCTTTATTTTTTTTTAAGAATTATTTTAACTTTTTAAAAAATATTATTATTGATTTATTGATTTATTTTAATTTGATCAGAGAGGGACAGAGAGAGAGAGAGAGGGAGAGAAAGCGAGAAAGTAAGCTGCCAGGTCCAGGACTTGAACTGTAGTTGGCCATGTGGGACTCCAGTTCCCTTAATCACCCTGTCACCTGCTGCACCCCCAAGTTTGCATTTGTCAAAGCAGTTGCCATAGAGACATTCTACCAAAAGATTTGTATTCCACTCCATGGTGCATAATATCTGTGCTGTGTCACTCCTCCTGGCCATAATGAGAGCTGGTGGAGTCTCACTTTGCTGCTGCCCCGAGGGCCTCACTCAGTGCTTTGCACGTAGTAGGCATTCAGCAGAAGTTGATGAATAAGCAAGTCCACGTTTTGCTTTGTAGTCTACTACGGCTGCAGAAAACGCCACAAAGTGGGTGCTTTAAGCAGTGGAAGTTTATTTTCTCATAGCTCTAGAAGTTGGAAGTCCAAATAGTCTTAGACCGTCTGGGTGGCTGTAATAAAATACAAACTGAGTAATCTGTACACAACAAAAAAATGATTTCTCCCAGTTCTGGAGGCTGGGAGGTCTAAGATCTTGCAAGGTGCCCGCAGGTGTGGCCCTGGAGGGCCCACCTGGTCTGTAGACGGCATCTTCTCGCTGCGTCCTCTCCTGCTGGAGAGCACTAGCTGGCCCTCGGGGTTCTCTTTACAAGGGCACTAATCCCAGTCCTGTGGCTTCTCCCTCGGGACCTAGTCACATGTCAGAGACCCCGCCTCCTAATACCGTTGCCTCGAGGGTTAGGATTTCAACATCAGAATTTGGGGGGCTAACTTCGTCTGCTATTGTGTTACTGAACAGAAGTACCTGAGACAGGGTGATTGAAAGAGAACAGGGGTTTACTTGCCTCACATCTGTGGTGCCTGGAAAGCTCAAAGCTGTGGCTGGCGTCTGACCAGCCTCCAGTGCTGTGGCCCAGCATGGCCGACAGGAGCTAGGCCAGCAGGTGTGTGCAGAGACCTGCAGCAGCCATCTTTTACCTTCATAATAACGGAGCTCGGAGGAGCTAATCCGTTCTCGTGAGAGCAAGAACTCTCTCTCACGGGAGCACGTTCATCTGCTCACTACGGCACGGCCCCCATGATGTCGGCAACACCCCATAGGCTCCACCTTTGAAAGGTCCGACCACCTCTCAGCACCATTATGTTGGGGACCAGGCTTCCAGCTCATGAATAATTGGGGGACAAGCCGTAGTTCCTATAGCAGGCGGCCATGAGCATCCGGCCCGCCATCCAAGACCACGGCGTTGGCAGGTTTGGTTTCTCCTGAGGCGTCTCTCCTTTGGTTTGCACAGTGTCTTCACATGGCCTCTCTCGTGTGTGTGCACCTCCCTGTCACCTCTTGCTCTTCTGAGAACACCCGCCATTTTTTATCCTGCCCCCCCCATCACCTCATCTAACCCTAATGACTCCTTTAAAGGCCCTCTCTCCAAACACAGCCACCTTCTGGAGGACTGGGGTTGGGGCTCCTCATACTGATTTCTAGGGCTCCGGTGCAGTTCCCTGATAACGTTTCCGACGTCATCAGAGCCGCGGGAAGTACCGTGTCTCTGAAGGATGATAGGAACTGTCAGTGTTGATCGAACACGTACCCGAGGAGGAAGTGGGTAGAGCGTTGAGCTGTGAGGACGAGCTCTGTCCTACCCATCTCCGTGTCTCCTGGCAGTAAGCGCCGTGTGCTGGTTAAACAGCAGTGCTAACACAGGCTCTGAAAGACGTGCCCTGCCCCTGGCTCCCGGGGCCAGGTAGAGAACTCCATCCAGACATTCTGCAGACCACTGCGTATACAGCTGGGTATTTGGGAGGGGTGTGGAAAGGGAAAACGTTAGCCACAAAGTGCGGGGTTGACAGCTGAAATCACCTTCTCTGGATAGCACTTTCTCGAATTCTCCATGACCACAGGATGTGGCTTTTTGAAACCCAGTCAGGAGATGCAGCTGGGCAGATGGCGGGGAAGTGGTCAAGGGTGTAGCTCACTGCCTCAGCAGGGCCGGGGGGTGTTTCTGCCCATGGGAAGCTTTCGTGTGTCTGGCAGAGTTTAAGGCGCAGCGTGAAGCTGTGTGGGCAGAGATGCCCCTGGGATGGACGCTGGTGGCGGCTGGGGCAGGCCGAGCTGCTGCAGTGGGTGGTGGGCAGCCCATGCTCTCCTTCTGGCTAGGCGCTTCTCGGGAGGAACAGGATGGGGCTGGAGAAATGTGTCCTTAACCTTGTGTGGGAGAGAGGACAGGGTCTCCCGTCCACAGAGAGCATCGCCAAGGTCCTCCCTGGAAGTACGAGGTTACCAGTGGAGAAGGTGCTGGGAGAAGAGGCGGGTTCCTCTCTTCTCTGAACCCCAGTCTCCCTGTCTTAACCCACGTCGTTTCTAAGCCTTCTTCCAGCTCTGCTGTTCCTCTCCTGCCCAAGGCCCCAGTACAGGATTTAGTCTCTGATGTAAAGAATGGTGGGGATCTGGAGGCAGGGCATGCAAAACCAAGAAGGACTCAGGGCCACGAGCCAGGTCCATGCGGAGCCGGCTGCCAGGAGCCTCCACTGTTGATTGACAGTGTGTGGGAGAAGGCAGCACCGGCCCCAGGACCCAGGAGTGGTGCAGAAAGTGAGCCCATCCTCCAGGACCCGATGTGGCAGCGGGGGGAGGGGACGCTGCCGATGGGTGTTCAACACGGCTCAAGGGTTGGAGACCCCCTCTTTCCAGCATTGATCTGGACCAGCAGGTGAAAGGGATCTGTCATCTCAAACTGAGCAACTCTAGACGCAAACCTGGAGTGTCTTCACCAACAGTGCCAGGGAGGGTTGAACGTTCCCTCTGTAAAGGAGACCAGGTAGATGAGGACTCTGGGATTCAGAGGACTCAAAGTCTAGGGTGGCCATTATCTTCCTCCAGAGACTTCCACGTTCAGAGAGAAGGGCACAGGACCAGCCTGGGCTCGAGGGACAGAAAAGCACCTCCCGCCGGCGGGAGCAGAAGAAAAATGTGTTGGCCCACGTCACTGCAAGAGGTTTGGAGG